TTATAAAAGACTATTATTAATCGTAGTAAATTTTCCGCGAAAAGTTGATAAAATACATGTGGAAATGCGGGGTTTTTCGAACCTTCGTAACGCTTGATATAAGGATAAAACGCGGATATGCTGCAACTTTCATGCTTAATTTTCTCAGTCATCTGGGTATGTAGTAATCTAATTTTATGCAATGTAATGTGTTATATTTTCAAGGGCTTTTCAATGCAGTTACCGGTTTAAATATACCTAAAATTCCCGTTAAGAGATATGACAATTGCCCTACGGCCTACTTTTACGCAAACGAAAATTAGCTACAATTGCCACTTTCATGCTTAATTTTCTCTGTTATCCGGGCATGTAGTAATGTAATTTTATGCCAATGTAATGGGCTGATGAAATTTGCAGTCGTAATTTGCGTTTGCGTAAAAGTAGTCCGTACGGCAATTGTCATATCTCAACGGGAATTTGAGTTATATTTAAACCGATAACTGCATTGAAAAGCGCTTGAAAAAACAGCACATTACATTGCATAAAATTAGATTACTACATACCAAATGACTGAGAATATTAAGCATGAAAGTTGCAGCATATCCGCGTTTTATCCTTATATCAAGCGTTACGAAGGTTCGAAAAACCCCGCATTTCCACATGTATTTTATCAACTTTTGGCGGACAATTTATTAAGATTAATAATAGTTTTTTATAATATATCCTAATATATCCCTTTCAACAAAACGCGGATTTGATTTTAAAATTGAGTTTCGTGTCAAATGAAGCCGTCCCCCCGTCCATCCGCCTGTCCCCCCCGTCCACCCGCCTGTTCTCCCGTACATCCGCCTGTCTCCCCAGTCCATCCGCCTGTCCCCCCCCGGCCGTCCGTCTGTATCCGCATTTTTCAATTTTCCTGTAATTTACATTTTCGGCCGTTTCGTTTCGGTCGTTTCGGTCGTTTCGTTTCGGTTGTTTCGTTTCGGTCGTTTCGTTTCGGTCGTTCCGGTGGTTTCGATGGTTTCGGCCGTTTCGTTTCGGTCGTTTCGTTTCGACATTTCGCCTTTTAGTACATGCCCTTGATACACGATATCCCACAACTCATTGCGCGCGTAGCCCTTGCTTCTAAAATACATACACCAAAAAGCGCTTCCAATCTATCGCTAGCTTGAAACCAGAGGCTTGAAACTATAGGAAGCATTTATAATCTGGCCAAAAAAATGATTATAAAAAAATGATGAAAATTCTTATAAGCGAATAATGAGACAGATTTTCTAAAAAAATTATATGCCAATTGCAATAATATAAAATTTTTATCGTTTAACGTATCGCATGTCATAACATTTGACAGCATTAACCGTGATGTCATAACATGTCGGTGATATTTACGCAAAATCTTGGGTAAATTTACACTTCATTTTTTGCGGTGGATCATACCATCTTTATTAAAGCGTAGATAGACGATTGTTGCAAATGATTTGAATTCATATATAATTGTTATTTTTCAATAGCAGCAATTCATTGGGCATATTCAAATTAAATTCATTGTGATATCCGCCATGTTGAAACTGCGACAATTCAGGACAGAGCCGTTCAGCTTCAAATTTGACAAAAAAGTGAAAGATATACAATATTACAATTAGGTTTATTCAATTCAATATCATATCTCGTTTTAGCCATGCAAAAGTTGCCAAAAGAAAGGTTTTGATATATGCGATAAATAATATTAAACTTTATTTCAAGATTGTTTTTCTAATTATGAGAATATTATTCTAGGATGGAAAAATGTTATTCTTTAAATAAGAAAAAATTTCTCTCGAATATTCTTGCCCAGTTATATTTTCTTATTTTAAGATTTTTGTTCTTAAAACTAGATTTTTTTTCTTGAAATATTTCTTGATAAGAAATATTTACTTAAAATAAGAAAAATAATCTAAAAAATAAGAATATTATTCTAGACTAGAATAATGTAGTTTGAATAAAAACAACAAAGCGTTGCCGATTGTTTATGATGCAATACCAATCCCTCATAGTCGCGTAAAAATCCCTCGACAACGGTTCATTGCAAGAATCATGGATTATTGTACCCACTTTCACCGACACAATCAACAGGTAAACAAGAATGATGTTAAAAAAAAAATCAGGAATTTATTCATTTGAATGTTGATTATAAATTGAATTGCGTAATTAAAGAACGAATCGATTAAACCATGGATAATAAAATAAATGGATAGGAAACTAGCTGACGTGACCTAATGTTTTCAATGGATTGATGGCGTGGTTGGATGTTGAAACCTAGTTGCAAACCAAATTCTCAAAAACGGCATGTTTAGCAATAATACAGCTAAACATTTTAGTCAAAGAGCAAATGAATATAACTACGCCATTATACGATGAAATATCTAAGTATTCCCAGTCAATTTTAGCAAATATTTCAAGCACTAAACAGTGAAAAAGGCATCCCAAATTTCGTTAAAATTGGGGACGCCAATTTCGTAGCTACAAATGTAAAAAAATACAAAAACAAAGACGAAAAACATTTACCTTGAATACTTTGTCGTGGCTTAGGCATGTTTTTAAAACAATTAGGACAGTTTATGCTTCAATATTACTCTTTTAAAGCGGAAAGTATAGCGAAACAACAAAAATGCCGAGAACTTTGCAATACGCGTGACGTCACAGATTGCAACTAGGTTGTTTTTGCTTACGTCAGCTAGAGTCCTATCCATTTATTTTATTATCCATGTCTATACTAACGTTCTTTAGATTGATGGTGTGGAACAACTGAACGTGTTGCTATTGGTAGGTACACAGTGTGAGACACAGAATAAAGACACACAGAAGGTCGACTCAGCCAAAGCGTAATTGCTGTCACGCCATGATTCGTCATCAAAATGCTGACGCCATGGTCCTAACCAGTGCCACAGATGAGGCATTCGGATTCCCCCTGGACGTCAACCTCGTACCCAGGCTCTCTTCTCTACGCTCCTCGCTGGAGGAAGAGACCCTGGTGAATGCTGGTCACGTGGCTCCCAGATTTTGAGAGCCACGTGGATATCGATTACTAGGGAGTGGAGGGTTCGTACTTTATTTGCGTAAATGTAAATCGTGTCGCACTTTTTATCAATATTTATAACATCTGGCTTCCGAGTGAGAGTATACACTGTATCATCCACAAGAAAGTGTAGACAATTGAAACTCAATTTGAAACTCAAATATCGCGTATGTATTTTGATCAGTCTGCTCAAAGTTTATAGCCACCAGACTACAAGTACTAGTCTCAAATTACATACATTGAAAAGTACCACCCCTCCCGGAGGACATATATGTGGCTTTCAAAATCTGGGAGCCACGTGACCAGCATTCACCAGGATCTCTTCCTCCAGCGAGGAGCGTAGAGAAGAGGGCCTGGGTACGAGGTTGCCTGGACGTCCGCCATTTTGAATATTATCAGGGGGTGAATGCCTCTCATACTGTAAGCGCGCTGGCTAGGACCATGGCTTGAGTAGTTTGATGACGAATTACGGTTACGCCAAAATCATAGGAAAAACCAAGAAGTCGGGCTTCTGTTGTAGTCTCTATTCTGTGGTGTAAACTTGCATACCGTTTATACCATGTCATGCCGATTGTGTTGTTTTCGACTTGTATGGAGTAAAACATTATTTTTTAGGGATGACCAACAGAAAAGATTTGATAGACGAAGCCTTACTACGACCTGGTAGAATGGAAGTACAAGTAGAGATAAGTGAGTTTTCCTTAAGACCATCATTACGCGACCTAATTTTTCCTGTAACTTCAATTCCCAGGGTCGTCGCAACTACGAGGGCAGATAGTAAAGATACATTGTGTATTCAGAGTGATATCTATCCTAAAATCGTATTGGAGGTTCATTACTGTATTATTATCCTCAACTAAACGTATATCTTAGGCCAGAAAGTTCAAGCGGCAAGAGTGCGAACGAGACTCTATAAAGGCCCATGCGAGGCACTCTCCCGTTTCAATTATTATATATAAAAAGATAATAATACACAAGTACATATACACGATACTCCAATTTACGTAAACATATACCAACTGGTTAACCCAAACATATAAAACATATAAACTGGTTAAACATATACGAACTGATTTCCCCTCTTTATACCTCCACAACAGGTCTGGCGGATGAACCAGGTCGTCTTCAGATCCTCGAGATTCACACTCGAGCCTTGCGAGAAAACAACTTACTGAGCAGTGACGTAGATCTCGCAGAACTCGCTGCACAGACCAAGAATTTTAGTGGGGCTGAGATCGAGGGACTGGTGCGAGCTGCGCAATCAAACGCTATGAACCGATTTCTTAAGGTGAATCATTGTGTTTTGTAGTAAGATACACTCCATCCCCTTGTCTTCGTAACCTATCTTCCTCAGTGGTGTCTCTGTCTAGCATTAATTTGAAGCTTTCAATGGTAAACAAGTTAAAAAAAAATTTTAAACTTCTCTACTTAGATGGAGACGACGTTAGAAATTGCACCTGACGCCGTCTCGAAAGTGTTGGTGAAACCGACAGATTTTAATCATGCTCTGGAACACGACATCAAGCCGGTAAGATACGACTATTTTCTGTTTGCACTGTATGTACTCCAGGGGTAGAAAACATTTTTTCTTTCTTGGAACCTGGGTCGAAGGCTAGAAATTTTCTGTAAAATTTGCAATGTTACAATTACAAAAATAACAAAACAAATGCATAATTATTACATTATTTGTACTTTAGTAATAATAGGCTTTAGGCAGGTTTTTGTATGCTTGTACATCGCAATAGTTGTTTGTGATGTACCACAGTTCTGAGTTATGACCAACTATAGTAAGGATCTAACGCTTAACTAAGTGTCCTATCATCTTATTTATTCCATCACTTTTATTTCTTTACTACTTAATTTGCATTTTATTGGATACTTTGCAGAATATATATTTACCATTTTACCTCATTGTGATGGCAGGGATGGGTAAAAGAATTAATTTTTGTCAAATATTTAAAAGGCTGCTGATGTTATAGCGTGTACAGTGTAAATAAAGTATAATAGTTGTAACTTGTAAGTTGAGTAAACAGAGTTATCTCAAAATGTTGAAATATTTTCTGGAAAATTTTCTGCAAAACTCTCAACTCAAAAAAATTTCTGGGAACTAGGTTCCCAGGTTCCGATACTTTTTCTACCCCTGATGTACTCCAAATTTTAGTATGTACTTGGACAATAGAAATAATAGACATCGTTTGGATAACTAACCCTCCTTGTTGTACAAATTTAAAAAACTTTTTTTTCACTTTAGGCATTTGGCGCAAGTGATGATGATCTGGAGTACTTTGTTCTTAATGGTGGGCTTCCTCTCTTCTGTCTGTTTCAAGTTTCAATCAATATTCTATCAACTGGCTTCTCTTTCTCTGAATCGCTTCTTCTATTTTCTGTTAGATATCATTCGTTGGTGTCCGATGATCGAGCAGATTATCTCTGATGGAAAATTGCTGATAGAGCAAACCAAAGTACATGATAGCTCCATGGGACCCGTCAGTGTTTTGCTTGAAGGTATGATTTTGTCTCAGTGAATAGCTCTATCTATTCTAGTATTCTGCTCTCAAGTATCAATCCCAGTATCAAATAATAATAACTAAACTGTTAAAAATCCCATCAGCAATCCTGCTGCTATTAACGGGAGAACAGCGATTACAATTATCAACCCCAAATTATTGACTTATTGCACTATTCACCTTCGGAAGATCAAGCAGCGTCTTATCCCTCAGGTCTCTGTTGTGCATGCAACGCCTGAATTTAAATGTATCTCTCAGTTGACTGGGGCAGTCCAAGTTATACAGTATCTTGAAAATACTTATAAAGCGTAAAAATCGTCTCCTGCTATGCAATGTGAACGACACATGGACTAATCACTGTGCCAACACCACTCTGAATTTGGTTTTATCATCGTAGGCCCAGTTGGTTCAGGTAAAACAGCCTTGGCAGTCAACATGGCACTCGCTTCAGAATTTCCTCTTATTAAAATGTGTAGCCCAGAAAGCATGACTGGCTTCTCAGAACAGGCGAAATGTAACGCCATCAAAAAGGTAATCTAAACTAAACTAAACTAACTTTACTTATGCTGGATATCTCCATCAGTTCTAAACTATTCTCCCTTGAAATCAAGTAAGAGACGTACTATATTTGTCCACTATTAGTCTTCCATGAAATCCAATAAGAAATATCCACTAACAAACCACCAGTAGAATGCGTTGAGTTTATCTGCCTCGATTTTCTAATAGGTGTTTGATGATGCTGATAAATCCGAGCTAAGTTGCATCATCATTGACGATATCGAAAAACTATTAGGTAAGAGAATGATTCTTAACTCTCTTTTTGATAATAGGGAGATTCAGATTTGACTACCGCTACCTCTCACTGGCTTAGTACGCATCTGATTGGTTAATCGGGCATATCAAACGCATCTGATTGGTTAATCGGGTATATCAAACGCATCTGATTGGTTAATCGGGCATAGCAAACGTATCTGATTGGTTAATAGCCACTTCGTTGTAGGAAGTCGAATCTGAACCCCTGTAGTGACAAGTTATAGCAGCAGCTGTATATTTTTTCATGTGGGATGTTTAAATTTTAGATTACGTTCAAATTGGACCAAGGTTTTCTAATATGGTGTTACAATCCTTGTTGGTTTTACTTAAGAAAAAAATACGAAAGGTATTTTTTATTCATTTTATTTTATCTTGTTCAAGTGAATGAATGTGATTTTTAACTGAACAAGTTACATTCACGATCCAACGTTTCGACACTTCAGTCTGATGTCATTATTAGGCGTGACTAAAAGTAGCCACGTATGCACTTATCTAGCATAGAGATTATAAATAACACTAGAGGAGGCATCGAGTTTAAAAATTGGAAACGCAGCTAATGGGGGGCAAATTCAGGTCCCGGATATAAAATCGTGCTCTCATTGGCTGATTTGAAACTCGTCACCAATGGGAACACGAATACACATCCGGGACTTCAATTTGCCCCCCAATAGTCGCGTTCCCTTTTTTTTACTGAATTAAGATATGTTATCTAGTGTATGTCATATGAATGACGTCATGACCTAAAATGGCAAGGTCTTCGTAAGACGGTGACCTTGGCTAAAAACAGTTTGTATTTTTAGGGCAAGAAATTGCTTATAGTGGGTACATCAAGTTGTAAGAATGTTCTGCATGATATGGGCATGGTACAAGTATTTAATATGGTGCTTCATGTTCCTGGCTTGTCTTCGTTGGAACAGCTTGTTACTGTTCTAGAGGTAAGCGGGTTAAGTCATGTTTGGATCAGCTGTATGTAGTATACAGAAGGGAGGTTCTGAGTCTGGTGGATCGTCAGATGGGGCGAGGGGAGGGGGTCCGGACCCCATGCCATTCCCCCCGTGGTTACGGAATGTTCCTTGTTATGTAATTATATTTCAAATCTCCATGTTTTCGTAGGCGAGGAATTTGTTTGAAATAGACGAACTAGAAAGGATTCGAAATGAAATTGGAAAACGCAGGTAAAAAAATCTGTAATGTATTCCGACGCAAAACGTCTCATTGGGATGCGCAGTAGAAACTTTGTATTGGCTGAAATTTTGTGTTTTCAATCAATTATATATCATGTCGTAATTTTGTTTTTAAGCTTATGGATAAGTGTGAAAAAGTTATTGATTCTTGCTGAAGTTGCTATTAGGGTAAGAATTGAACTGTATGTTTTGTGTATTGTTTTGTTTATTTAAACGTGCATTTATTGTCGCTGAATTTCTTACTTTTGCCTTAGACACAACCGTCGTCCAGGGTTGATAAATTTATTTCACTATTGGAGAGAGAAGAATGGTAAGTTTTGATTCATCTTATCAAAGCAGTAAAGAATTGGAAAGTTGAAAGAAATGTTCTAACTTTGCAGTGGTGAAGCTAGCCATAGCAACTGGTCATGTAGCCCGCGTGTACGCCCACAGAGAGAGGAATAGTGGGCGTGCACGCGGGCAACTGGTCACGTTATGCAAATTTTAAATTATTTAAATTATTGAAACTTTTCGAAATATATTGTCTCTAGCCTATATAAAGCTGGAGTAATACGAGCAACAAAATTGCTGCAACTTGCAACAAAATCTGATTTCTACGCATGTTAATTGAAAATGTTTGTAAACAAAAATACAAATCACGAGGCAACATATGTCGACATTTCTACTTAACATGCGTTGAAATCAGTTTTTGTTGCAAGTTGCAGCAATTTTGTTGCCCGTATTACTCCACCTTAAGTGTACTTTGTTAGCACAGCAGCACCAGTTCCGCATAAATTTGAAATCGCACACAGTTTGTTTTTTTTGGTTAAGAATCTGGCTAGAGCTACCTTTCATCTTGCATGTATCATTAATTTCATGCACTTTGCATGCAATGGGTGATTCCAGCTGCAGACTAATTTTTGATCAAGGCAAGAAGAACGAAAACCAACACCACAGCTAGAAAGAGCGTCTTAGAATGAGTAAAACTGCAAAGATTGGTCGCTAGATATGTTGTAAAATGAAGAAAATATAGCCCTGTGAAGTTCGCAAATTTTGTATATATTTGTATTACGCACGGTAAAAATAACCACTTTCGGCCCAAAAATGGTTATTTTTACCGCGCGTGGTTATTTTTACCGCGCGTAATGCAAATATATACAAAATTTGCGAACTTCACAGGGCTATAGTTTCCTCATTTTACAACAATTCACAACCAAACTTTGCAATTTTACTTTTTTTAAATTGCTCTTTCCAGCTATGGTAATATTTAGTTCTTCTTGTCTAGATTAAAATTTCGTCAATACCTGCAATCATCCATTTCTCTTCCCTTAATTTCTTTTTTCTCTTCTTCAGTTTAAAAGATTTTACGTGATGAATATATCCAGGTACCCACAACATGCTACAGTACTTTACGTTAAATCGCACCGGGCAATTCTAAATCGAGGTAACTCTGTCCAATTATTCTACATAATCTACGCTACGCTAGGAAACTAATGATGTTTATTAACTATAGCCGTCCTATCGCTGACCGATAAAGATAATGTCTTACCAAGATCGAAATTGCATTGCAAGTTACAGAAATAATTGTTCTAAACGCAGGGTTAGCATTCGATAAATTGGCCTGAAAATTATGTAGTACTATAATATAATGCACAAGCTGTCAGTGTGTATTGATTGCTTATACTGTAGATCTAAGGAAAGCATCAACTATTTCGCTGACCTCAGAATGACATTTCGTCAAAACGTTTTTTGTTCAAGATTGGTTTAGAAACAAATTTGGAGTAGGGTTAGGTTAGGGTTAGGGTTAGAGTTGGTGTTTGGAATAGGGTTAGTGTTAGTAAAACCGTTGCTTTGTTACGTTTTGTCACTCTGAGGCCAGCGAAATAATCTCTTCCATCTATGAAGTCAAGTTTACCAAATATTTTAGCAATGGAACTAACGTTTAAATCAGTAATCGGTAAATCAGTGGCGCCATGTAGTGATATAAATAAGGGAAAATGTGTATCCGATGATGGACATATATTTTGACATTCATTTCGTTTGATTTTTCTTCATAAATTATTAATGATATATTAAAGAACATACTGCAAACGAAAGCACACAACTTTTCCAAGTTCTCAACAGCTTGCAATTCTTAATTAGGGTTTAACGTTCACCAAATAAAATAAGTCTTGAAAACATCCTATATTTTGTCATAATATTCTAAGCTCACAGTAGCGCACAGTTTTTTAACGGAAGTCCGCCAGTTTCTCGGAATGGATTTTTGGACGATGGTATTTTTGTGAGGAATGCATCCTGCTGAACATTGCTCAGGCAGTAGTCGATCAAGTCTTGTGAACATGTGCTGATGTTTCGTCGTTTGATCAACAGGAGACGACGCAATCCGTCTACTTCTTTCTCCAATCTATTTCGTTCGGCTTGCACCTCAGATTCGTGATGCGAATTCATGGCTGTCTTGCTAAGTATGTATCTGTGAACAAATTTGAAGGCAGCAAGTTGAAGCTATTTAGTGTTGCCTTCTTTTAATATTATCTTTCTATGTCTATCATTATCTATATATGTCAATATTTAAACAAGGACAAAAAGCATTCATTAAAGAAACGTTGTAACAAGTATCTCCAATCTCTGAAATCGATAACACAAATGATATATACTAGACCCTGAATTTTACTTCCAAAATGCTGTTATACTATCCGTGGACTTCCAAAAGGGGGAGTCCAGGGATACCTTTAAAACCAAATGTCCGAATATCCACAGCAATTTCTGACATTTGCGATATCTTGCAGTCATGAATACAAAGAAGAAAGTTTCGGCTTTGTCGTCGATGGAAATTCTTTCAAAAACTGAACTGCGAAAATAGAACTATATGGACCCTCTAACGGGAGTCGAATGTTTGCTACTGACATCGCTAAGGAAACCTAACCTTGGAGCTCTTGCTTCTTCTATGATTACGTTTGTGGTATAGCCTATATGTATATAGTGAATATATATATTCACTATATATTTCTTTATGCCGCTTTATTGTCCTTATCTTACTCCTGTATGCTTGCGAGCTGGTAGAATCCTACACGCTTTTATAATCACAAAATCTTGTCCATATGAAATATTTAAATTTATGAAATAATTTCTAAAGTCTTATCTCTGTTCCTCATGCAGCGCCTTTGATTCAAATATGTTAAAAACGACCAACCTTTTGTGAGAACTTTTTTCTCGCCGTTATCCAAGTGGAAATTTCTTTCAAAATAGAATAAAGTTTTTCAAGCTTTGTTAACACCTTTCTGATAAAATTCACAAAGTGATCATCTTATATAGTTGCACAGATGAACCTGTTTAACGCTGGGGATAAAACGTGAATTCATGAAGTTAAGCAAACCTGGATTCACCCTGTGATTCCCTGTGATATAATACTGATCTATAAAGAATTTTCCTTTTCTGGACCTCTAGGGAAAACACTTTTGAGCAGACAGAACTATCCAGTATAAGCAATGCTAGTTTAGTAAATGAGTTAAACTTTTAAAAGGGAAAATGTTGCTTTAAAATAACAAGTAAATTGTATTGTAAACAAGTCAGTCTGTTAGCCGTTGATCTAGGTGTTCAATATAATTCAAAATTCACAATCCATTCTCAGAGTCCTGACAGCCAGGATCGCATGAGTCCTGTCTTTATTTGATCCCCACAGCACCTGTTGTAGGTATATAATTTGCTCTTCGATAAAAGAATAAATAAATATGTTTTTAAACGAAAGATAACATGTCAGCCAATGAAATGTGGGCCTTTACAGCTTTTGATCCATGGGCCAACATTTTATCTTATTGAATTAGAACCAATTAGAACACATTAGACGAGATTTTAACCTATCAACTTTGAGCTTTTGAACATATCGGTTTAATGTAATGGAAAAGCCAGTATTAATGAAACTAAATTGCCTAGCGATCTTGTTTATAATAGCTAACTGCATATGATCTTTATGTAAATTTATATATCTTTCTAGACAATATTGTGAGAAAAAAGTCTGCCGGATCTAATGTTTAATTAATGTTGCAAATGCTTTTTAGATCAATAGTACCTGTGTATTTCAATGGGTTTGGAAACTTATATTGTTTCTTTTATAATAAACGTATTACTATATCGAAGGTATAAACCTAAACTGAATTTATAGTTTTAAATTATTTTTTTTGGGCCTGCGTGGTGGCAGACAATCACACACACACAAATATTCACACGTACATACAAATCCAGGTGAAACCTCCTGGCCACAGAATAGAGATCTTACAGAAGGCTGACTTCTTGGTTTTGCCCATGATTTTTACACAGCCGTTGCAATGCTGTCCCCATGATCCTAGCCATTGCGCTTACGAGAGGCACTCACCCCCCCCCCCCCCCCCCCACACTGAATTTATTTAAAGGGGGTGAGTTCCTCTTATAAGCGCACTATAGTTAGGGACATGACGATTGGCAAGCGCATTTTGATGACGAATCCGATGGCGTGGCCGAGTCGGCTGTCTGTAAGATCTTTATTCTGTGTTCTGGCGGAAGGTATTAAACATACAGATGTCAAAATGATTTTTTAATGTTCTTTATTCCTCTATCATGTCTAATACATAATAAGTTCTAGCACGTCTCTTATTTTGATATCCTGGGTTGACTCTCTATTCCTCATCCACCTCTATGGGTGGTGTAACGGGATCGGAGATTCTTCTGCAGAATTTAAGATCAACGGGTTTCTTGGTAGGACCTCCTGGATTGCCATTGCTCACTGTAAAAACACTTCGGCATTCCAGACCTTCTCCGCAGCAGTGACCCTAAAAAAAGAATGTTTACATTTACAACCTCTAATATTCTCTGCATATTCTAGCGAGCGAGAAGCTCAGAAAAGTAGAATCTTTCTAGATTTTATTATAAGTAATAATGACGTCAGGGCTAATACCATCTGAGGTGCAGAGGTTTTCTGCCCCTCTGCCCCCTGAGTGCAGGCTACCGGTTACAGCTAAACAGGAAACCCCTGATCCAGAATAGGAAAATACCAATCTAAGATGAAAATGTTTTGTGAAATGGCTTCCTTGAACAAAGGTCATCACTGTTTATGACTCGTTCTTTGGAAATTTATCTTTTTTCTTATTTAAATATAATAATATAATAATATATAATAATATAATAATATAATAATATTAAACGCACATAACGATATTAAGCTCACTGCGTGATACTTACATTGAAGGGGCATGGAAATCCTAAAATAAAGGGTAGAATACATCTTTTACCGAGAAGTGGCAAACTGGCACAGCAACGTTTATCTCCGCAGGCGGATGCCTCGCTGCATTTCTGTGAAATAAAAATAAAACCTGTCAGACTAATGTTAATTTACCGTAAACCCTGCACAGGACCCGAACCCGCGACCTTAATATACATACAGGTAATACAGCTCACTCCCCTTCGGAGCTTTTCAGTAACCGAGTACATCAAGTATTACGCTTATTTACATATGTTACTTAACCTAGACTATTTATCTTTACGACAATTCTGATGTTGCTTTCCTAACTGTGTTTATCCTAACCCACTCTGTCAACTTTCCCTGTGGGAGGAAACCAGAGCGTTTGGAGAAAATACACGATTTTTGGCAGAGCGTTGACAGGATTTTTTCACATGAGTCCGTAGTGTTACGTTCGCGGGCGACAACGAACAAAAATGTATGTCTGCATCTTCATCTTGTTTACGCTCGTTGCCCGCCTTGACCAGACACAGCGACACGCCCTGGCCAAGGAGGCTTTTTTGTATTTGGAATATCCTTCTTCTGAGTCTTATAAACTTTTCGACGACAATAAACCAATAATATCAATTTATTCTTCTTTAACAACAACAACAACAAACTACTATTTCTAATCCTTTCTAATAATCTTCTAACTATCTTTTAACTTAAGCTTTCGCTGTTTATATACTATCCGATAGATATTTATAGAACATTACATAAACGCTATTTTTAGATATTACGTATAAGATAAATATAGCAAAACCATGACTCAGCAAAATTACGCAATGTCTTAAATTAAGAATGTTTATGACGTGACTGACTTCACGTCACAGTAGCGAGAAACGAAGGTAAAAAGCGCTTGGTTTGCGCCATTGAAGCCCCTTTTCCACCGTCTATACTTACTCTGAGCAATGTATTAATGCCACCGCTGATGATACCACTGAGCAAGCGTTTTTGTCTGGGTTCGTCTGCTTCGTAATCAACTTTCCTAGGAATAACCTTCTCTTCAGCTGCCCTACATTGTCTGATCTTCACCACTTTTTCAATGTCTCCAACATTAACATTAATGACCTGCGTCACTTGGCATTCCAAACCATCGTCGCAGCCACATTTGTGCAAAGACTTGTAAAAAAAGAGATAGAAATATGATAAAACGTATTTATATATTGGATTGGAAAGCTGTGGTTTGAAATGGATTCAACAACCTGAAAAAGACAAGTGAAACCAGGGACGCCGGAAAGGGGAGGCACAGGGGGCATCGCCCCCCTTGCCCTTTGGTAAGGGGGGCAGGGGTGGCGAAAGTGCCCTTAGAGTAGAAATTCTAACCCAAAAAAATATGAGGTACAACGATTAAAAAGTGTGAATTACGCGTGAAATGGACGTAATATTGAAATATACGTGACATTTTCTGGAATATTAGTCAAAAATTAGGTTAACTTTGAAATTTGTTTGCCCTTGTTTTGGTGAATTAAGGTTCCGGAAAATTTTTTGCCCTTGTTTTGGTGAATTAAGGTTCCGGAAAAATTTTTCGGAAACGAAATATTAATTACTGATTGCCCTTACGTCAACATTGCCCCCTTGTGCCCTACCCTCGCTCCGGCGTCCCTGAGTGAAACTTCGACGTTTCGAGCATTTCGTCGACATTTTACGTGTATTTTAAAAAGAGTTGAATCTTTTTCAATCCACAGCTTTCTGGTGTTAGTGTCACTACCTCAGGGACGTGCTGGCTGGGGACGAGCCAACGTGAACTCGTTGTGGGCCCTTGCCATCAAGTTACGACATGCCCCACGATGTGTCCGGAAAATTTTTGCATTCCAGGAAAAATTACGATATGTGCGGAAAAATTTCGGCGACCTCCCCCCCTAGAAATTTCGAAACACTCTCAAAATCTAAAATCCTAGCTGAGATTCAGCTTCCCAGCGCGGCTTACTCACCGAGAATCTGTCACCACAAGGCATGTTGGCACGAAGTTTCGGGAGACACGCCAGGCCAAAAGCACAACACGTGTGAGCTCGACAGTCCTTATCTGCCTTGCAAAAGTTGGGAAGCTACAAAAACAAGAAAATACAATAACTACAACTATTGGGATAGGAAATCATTATTGAATCAACTTTTACAAAGAAAGCTGTAAAATAGATCGAAGGCTTACTGCCATCATTCTGGCAGCCACACAAAATCAATTGCAGTAAAATGATTAAAGTTAAAATTCGTTTAAAAGGCACTAAAATACTGAATACAACCAAGTAAAAAACTACTTACATTGTCTAAGAAAAGCCCATAACTTGCCCCAATGGCGACCACGAATACGACAACAAAGAGCTTGTTCATTTTTTAAACTTCAGGATATTTTCTTGTGAACTAAATAACCTTGTGAACTGAAGCTTTGTCGTGTTTCAAGCCGTCTTCTTATATAAGACTTTTCCTAAACCATACTTGCACATCTGCGAAAACATAATTTACTCCGCAACTATTGTTCCGCAGGAAAAGACAATTAGGATTTTGAAATGTGTGCTTAAAATGTTTGCAAGAGAAATTGCTATAATTAAACTTGAAATTTTACCTTCAGTTAATGGACCTTTCCCTTTATAACTAAAATTTTGATCTAGATAAGTCTAGACAAAAATTTCATCACAGCTTGAAAGAGCATCACAAAATTAGTAATATTCCAAAGTTTCGTTGCGAAATGTTGTAAAATGCGGATAATATAGCCATGCGAAATTTGCAATTTTCAGTCATTTTGTATTACAAACGGGAAATTGATGCCCCAACACCAGATTGGGGTGTCAATTTCCCGTGCGTAATACAAAATGACTGAAAAACGGCAAACTTCGCATGGCTATATTATCCGCATTTTACAACATTTCGCAACGAAACTTTGGAATATTACTAATTTTGTGATGCTCTTTCAAGCTGTGATGAAATTTTTGTCCAGATCAAAATTTTAGTTACAAGGGGAAAGATCCATTGACGTTTTAGTTCATGCTATAATCTAAGGAGAATGCTACATTGGCGCAGTGATCAGGGCAAACACCTTTGACTTTGAGAACGTGAGTTCGATTCTCGTTCCGGATTCAAGACATTCATGTAAAAAGAGTGAGTCAACGCTCTACCGAAAGTCGTGGGTTTTCTCCGCGTACTCTGGTTGTGTTCCGTGATCAAACAAGAGTCATAAGGTGGCTGCCAGATGCGCCGTTAGCTTTAAGACCTGTCAACACTTGCGATTTCTAGTGACTGTGCGATTTTTTTCTTCTGATGTATCTGAACGAGTAGATGAGTGATGAATGTTCTGAACATGTGTACCCTTATCCCTGCCCTCATCTGTTCATTCATAACTCATCCACTCGTTTACATCCATCAGAAGAAGCAAGTCACACCTAAAATCGCAGCAAAAATCGCAAGTGTAAATGGGCCTTAGGAAGCCTTCGACTAGATCAGGTTGAGCTGTGTATGTCGCAATTCAGCTTAACTTGAGGTAGTAAGAATGGCGTTTCCGGGAACGGCAAACGGCAGATTCGAACTTTCTTCGCAAAATGTCCGTTAAACGTTTTCGTTTCATATTTTCTTTCTTGTGTCGAAAGAATAGTCATGCATTGCAAGTTTTAAAACAGCAAGTTCATTTACTCTTTATACCGTAAAATTTTTCTTTGCCTGCCGTTTGCCGTATAACGCGAAGCTTAAACTCTCTATTAGCACTCCCCCTCCTTCCCTCCCCCCCCCCACACACACGAAATAACCCCGTCATTTTAGGTGGCGCAAATCATGGCCAGCACTTGGGCCAGCAGCGAAATACCTGACGTGGATTCGGGGAAAATGGCCATTCCGAATTCTCATGCAAAAGTGGCAACGACCTTTTTGCCTTGTCGACTAGTTGACGCCGCAGTCGCGAGGTTGCTTCCAACAATTTAATTTGCTTAAACGTCTGAACAAAAGCCTAAAAGCCTGAACAAATTTGTGAGGAATATTGAATAAATGAGGGCGGGATACGAGTCACAGCTTTCTGGTTGGCAAATACTCGTTTAATTATCTTCTTATCAATCAGAAGAATAACGTCTTGTTTAGCATTTTAATTAGTCTTAACACTGGGATTTTATAGCTCGTAATTTGTGGGTAGTTTGATTTCTCAGAAGTTGCGTAAATTCCGAGGAACTTTCAGCAAAAAAACTGATTTACCAACTGATTTACTGATTTCTACCTGAAACTATGAAACAGTGACCTCAATAGGGTATTCACATTCTTCAATGACCCGACTTGAATGCTCGCCATAACAACAGCCAATTACGTAACCAAAAAGATTGATTTGCTTGACAGTATAGCAAGTTTAACCATGTGGGTCACGATTGTTTTGCTTTAAAATCATTATTGAAGTCTCAATTACGGCTTCCAACCTGACCATTTGCGAATAAAACAGCGTCTTTGCAACAGACTCGGGGAACTCAGTCTCAGGGCCCTCTTTAAGAATTTGTCAATGGATGGGGCCATCTAGAAGGTGGTGAATACGAAACGTGGCAACTTGTAGGGGAGTCTGGTGGTTGATTTTTAGACATAATTTTTGACGTATTTCATCAGCTAGACAAAGGTTTGGTCATGCGAATACCAAAACACTCTCTGTATCTAAGTTATCCGTATATTTTAGACTGAAGAGGGACCTTCGCTGGGGAGTCAAATAGGGGCTGGAAGACTTCCCCCCCCCCCAGTCTATATCAGGGACGTGCTAGGGTTTTGGAAAGGACAACGAATGAATGTCTTATGGGGCCCAGGCCCAGTGACTGATGGATCAAGATTGGGGTGGGGGTATTACTGATCAAACATGAAACATTTCAGTCACTAATTAATCTTTTTTCCCCAAAATTGGGGGGGGGGGGAGTAAAAAAAAATTCCGGAATTTTTCAGTAAAACAGCAGGAAAATTGTGTTCTAAATAAGTCCGTCTGTTAGGTGTTGATCCAGGCATTCAATATAATTCAAAATTCACAATCCATTCTCAGAGTCCTGACAGCCAGGATCGCATGAGTCCTGTCTTCATTTGATCCCCCAGCACCTGTTGTAGGTATATAATTTGCTCTTCGATAAAAGAATAAATAAATATGTTTTTAAAGGAAAAATAACATGTCAGCCAATGAAATATGGGCCTTTACAGCTTCTGATTCGTGGGTCAACATTTTATCTTATTGAATTAGAACCAATTAGAACACATTAGACGAGATTTTAACCTATCAACTTTGAGCTTTTTAACATATCGGTTTAATGTAATGGAAAAGCCAGTATTAATGAAACTAAATTGCCTAGCGATCTTGTTTATAATAGCTAACTGCATATAATCTTTACGGAAATTGATATATCTTTTTAGACAATATTGTGAGAAAAAAGTCTGCCGGATCTAATGTTTAATGTTGCGAATACTTTTTGCCTTTTAGGATAGATAGTGCATTTCAATGGGTTTGGAAACTTATATTGTTTCTTTTATAATAAACGTATTACTATATCGAAGGTATAAACCTAAACTGAATTTATACTGGATAGTTTTTACCAGTTTTAAATTATTCTCCCTGGACGTCCAGACCATAGATATCTTAGACAAACGAAAACTAGAGAGCGCATAAATTATACAACATGCTAATTACGTATTCAGTTTACTCTGCTCGGGAAAGCAAGACAAACGTTTGCTAATTTCTTTTCCAATTTTCATCCCAATTGAACCAAAATTTAATCCATTCGTCCTTGGACTATTTTCGTATTAATACGTTTGATATTTTTTTATTTATCGTGGTGGCAGACAATCACACACAAATATACACACACACAAATCCAGGCGAAACCTCCTGGCCACAGAATAGAGATCTTACAGCAGGCCGACTTCTTGGTTTTGCCCATGATTTTGACACAGACGTTGCAATGCTGTCGCCATGTTCCTAGCCAGTGCGCTTACGAGAGGCATTCACCCCCCACACTGAATTTATTCAAAGGGGTGAGTTCCTCTCGTAAGCGCACTAACTAGGAACAATAATGAGCGCATTTTGATGACAAATCCGATGGCGTGGCCGAGTCGGGCGTCAGTAAGATATTTATTCTGTGTCCTGGCGGAAGGTATTAAACATACAGATGTCAAAATGATTTTTTAAATGCTCTTTATTCCTCTATCATGTCTAATACATAATAAGTTCTAGCACGTCTCTTATTTTGATGTCCTGGGTTCACTCTCTATTCCTCATCCACCTCTATGGGTGGTGTCACTGGGTCGGAGATTCTTCTGCAGAATTTAAGATCAACGGGTTTCTTGGTAGGACCTCCTGGATTGCCATTGCTCACTGTAAAAACACTTCGGCATTCCAGACCTTTTCCGCAGCAGTGACCCTGAAAAAGTATGTAAATTTACACTAACCTCTAACATTCTCTGCATATTCTAGCCAGCGAGAAGCTCAAAAAGGTAGAATCTTTCTAGATTTTATATAAGTATAATAATGACCTCAGGTGTAATACCATCTGAGGTGCAGAGGTTTTAAATTTTGGCTATTCTGCCCTTGAGTGCAGACTATACCAGGGTAGGAAAATACCAGTCTAGGATGAAAATGTTATGTGATCGGCTTCAATCAGTGTTTATCATTCGTTCTTTGGAAAATGTATCGTTTACTTTATTAAACCGATCACAAATCTTGTTCATTTAGATTGGTGTCAACCCAAGAGCGAGGCAACTCGACACAATAGCAAAGTGTGCAATAGTTAAGATCCCTAAATTCCGTCTTGTAATAATATTAAACGCACATAACGATATTAAGCTCACTGCGTGATACTTACATTGAAGGGGCATGGAAATGCTAAAGGAAAGGGTAGAATACATCTTTGACCGAGAAGTGGCAAACTGGCGCAGCAACGTTTATCTCCGCAGTCGGATGCCTCGCTGCATTTCTGTGAAATAAAAATAAAGTCAGACTAATGTTAATTTACCGTAAACCCTGCACAGGACCCGAACCGGCGACCTTTAATATACAGCTCACTCCCCTTCGGAACTTTTCAGTAACCGATTACATCAAATATTACGCTTACTTATGTTACCTACTTAACCTGGACTATTTATCTTTGGCAATTGCTAGATAGTATACTTCAAAATAAGGTTTCCATTTTTATATCAATTTTTAAAATAAGTTAGGATTAGGTTAGGGTTTAGGTTAGGGTTAGGTTGAGGTTAGGGTGAGGGTTAGTATTAGGGTTAGGGTTTAGTTTTGCGTTAGGATAGTTTTTTCTACGTTATAAAAACGGAAACCTTATTTTGAAGTATACTATCTAGCGATCACCATTTATCTTTACAACAATTGTGATATTACTTTTCTAACTGCGTTTATCCTAACCCACCCTGTCAACTTTCCCTGTGGGAGGAAACCAGAGCGCTTGGAGAAAATCCACTATTTTTGGCAGAGTGTTGACAGGCTTTTTTCACATGAGTCCGTAACGAGAAACGAAGGTGAAAGGCGCTTTCTCTGCGCCATTGAAGCCCGCACCCCCCTCCTCCACCGTCCATACTTACTCTGAGCAATGTATTAATGCCACCGCTGATGATACCACTGAATAAGCGTTTTTGTCTGGGTTCGTCTGCTTCGTAATCAACGTTCCTAGGAATAACCTTCTCTTCAGCTGCCCTACATTGTCGGATCTTCAGCTCTTTGTGAATACCTCCAACAGTAACATTAATGACCTGGGTCACTTGGCATTCCAAACCATCGTCGCAGCCACATTTGTGCAAAGACTTGTAAAAAAAGAGATAGAAATATGATAAAACGTATTTATATTGGATTGGAAAGCTGCGGTTTGAAATGGATTCAACCACCTGAAAAAGACAAGCAAAACTTCGACGGTTCGAGCGAAAGCCCTTCGTCGACGTTTTACATGTATTTTTAGGTGGTTTTAAAAAGTTGAATCCTTTTCAATCCACAGCTTTCTGGTGTTAGTGTCACTATCTACGCTGGCACGAGTTTATACTGGATTGCTCTATCAGTGTACAGGCAGGGTAATAGACCTTACCCATTGTTCTCTTTTAACCAATGGCCTTGTTTCCTTGTTAACTTATTTTAGCATGTCAGGGACAGATAAAGATTATATTCCCATGTTTTCTGGACGAATTTGTTTCTTGCTGTTCTTAAGCTCAATAACAAAGTAATTTTCAACCCTACCAAGCACAAAACATGAGTTAGGGCCTGTTCATATGGACAAAAGTTATTCCGGTTAGCGAGAAAACGTTTCGACAAGTTCACAAGCGAGATATTGCCTTGGTATGAAAATAATATGAAAAGTTACACTGCGTTCATATGAGACAAAACGTTTCCTGTGTACCGAGATCTCGCTTGCTGACAGGCGAGATCTTGGTGACCAGGATAGTGTTTTCCCATATGAACACAACTTTCCCGCTTTATAGCGGGATAACTTTCTGTCGTGTCAGCAACTTTTCAATTCAATTGATGTTCAGTGCTACGTCACAGCCGAAAACTTTACCCGGTAAGCGGGATAAAGTTTCTCCATTTGAACAGAACAAAAGTATTTGGCTAGTCGAAAAGTTTTCTCGTTAACAGGGATAACTTTTGCCCATATGAACAGGCCCTAAGTATTTGACACGAAAACGAGGCCATTGAGTGAAAAGTGAATAAACGGCAAGGTTTATTGATAGGGGGGCCAGAAGTATAGAAACACTCCCAAAATATAAAATCCTATCTAAGACCCAGTTTTATCCAGCGCGGCTTACTCACCGATACTCTGCCACCGCAAGGCATGTTTGCACCAAGTTTCGGGAAACAAACTCTGCCAAAAACACAACACTTGTGTGCTCCACAGTCCTTATCTACCTTGCACAAGAAGGGAATCTGCAAAGACAAGAAATTAGAACAATTACAACTGTTCTGGTAGTAAATCATTATTGAACGAACTTTTACAAAGAAACCTGTAAAACAGATCGAAGGCTTACTGCCATCATACGACCCATGCCCATGGAGCACTGTTTTTGGTGCGAGAACCAACGATAACTCTACTTTCATAAGCTTTCAAGCACAGTCAGTATGTGCAGGTAGTCGCCCCTACCCCATTCTCGATCTACAGAAGCACTGTAGCAGGCGGTAAAGTTGGAAGCAATCTTTTCTGCACGGACAACCAGAAATACAGAAAAACCTTTTGCTCTTTCAATTTTACCCAACCAAAATATAAAATCACATGTACAAAATCAATCTGATTTTCTGAGAGATCGATATTTAAAGTGATAGTTAAAGTTACAGTAAAATATTTAAAGTTTAAATACACTTCCAATTCCATATATTTCACTGAAGCACTGCAATACTATACCAAGCAAAAAATTACTTACATTGTCCAAGAAAAAACCATAACTTGCCCCAATGGCGACCACGAATACGACAACAAAGAGCTTGTTCATTTTTTAAACTTCAGGATATTTTCTTGTGAACTAAATAACCTTGTGAACTGAATGTGCTTTGTCGTGTTTCAAGCCGTCTTCTTATAAGACTTTTCCTAAACCATACTTGCACATCTGCGAAAACATAATTTACTCCGCAACTATTGTTCCGCAGGAAAAGATAATTAGGATTTTGAAATGTGTGTTTAAAATGTTTGCAAGAGAAAATTAGATTGCTGTAATTAAACAATGAAAGTTGATTTTAGCTTCAGTTAATTGACATTTTAGTTCATGCTATAGTCTAAGGAGAAGGCTACGTTGGCGTCACCATTAAGTCATTATAAGTCACCTCTCCAGCTTCAAACACTATTTACTAAAAGGGAGAGAACATATGACTTCAGATCAACTAACTGTTTATGTCTTCAAAAACCAAAAATGGACTATTTGAAGAAATCTGTATCATATTAAGGAGTAACTCTATGGAACTCTCTTGATAACGAGTCAAGATGATCGGATTTCAAGACCCTGAAGAAAAACTTTTTTCAACAGTTTTATAGTTAGGATTAGTAAATTAGGAAAAAATTGATATTTATAGTTAAACTAAATTCACGACCACATCAGCTCTGCTGTAAAGTTTATCATTTCACGACCACATCAGCTCTGCTGTAAAGTTTATCATGCTTAAATAAATGCTTATTATTATTATTATTAAAGAGTCATAAGGTGGCTGCCAGATGCGCCCTTAGCTTTAAGACCCGTTAACACTTGCGATTTCTAGTGCGATTTCTTCTTCTGATGGATCTGAACGAGTAGATGAATAATGAATGTTCTGAGTATATGTACCCTCATCTGTACATTCATAACCCATCCACTCGTTCACATCCATCAGAAGAAGCAAATCACACCTAAAATCGCAAGTGTAAACACGGACCTTTGGGTAGCCTTCGACTCGATCAGGTTGAGCTGTGTACTTCGCAATTCAGCTGGTACCTCTCAGCTTGAAGTAGTAAGGACTCTCCCCCCACCTCCCCCCTACATACGAAATAACCCGTCATTTTAGGTGGCAAAAATGATGGCCAGCACTCTGGATAGCAGCGAAATACCTGACGTGGATTCGGCGGAGAGTGGCCGTTCCGAATTCTCATGCAAAAGTGGCAACGACCTTTTTGCCTTGACGGCTAGTAATTTTTGCGCCACCTTTGTTCTTAATTAGTTTTAAATATTTGCTGCCAAAAAATGGCGGAAACCAAACAATGGCTCAAGTGGCGTCACATCACGTGTTGTGACGTCTGGTTTTGTCGTTTGACTCTCGGCAATATGCAGTTGCCTGATCATAATTTCGCATGTGAAAAGAGTGTTGCCAGTTTTACTCAACATAGCACCGAACGTGTTCTTTGGTATTAATGCTTGGCTGATATTGACATCTCTTGACCTTCCCAGTACAAATAAAGTTAGTTTAGTTTTTCTCTGGACAAATAAAAAATATTCGACAAATTATAAATCATTATAAACATGACTATAATCTCAGACATAGAAACGGAAGATTAAAATACATACCGTTTTCCGACACAGAAACAGTTTTATCCCCCCAGTGATGAGACAGAGACTGCACGAAACTTAAATTAGCTTACATGGACCTTTTATAATTTTTGATGAATTTAATATTTTATATATCTAATATTTTACAAAATTGTCATGTATAAATTTCTGATAGTTATATCATAATTGCATGTAATTTGTCACTGTTGTAAATCTATTGTATGATGGATCATTAAATCATTGTTAAAAGAACACTTTACAACTAATAGAAATATTGGTTATAAATAAAATTAATTCGTTTGCACTTTTGTATTAAATTTCTAAATGTGGTTAGCTGAAACAGTCGTCGTTTTTTGCCTGACCTATACTGCGCATGATCATGAAGACATGAAACTCGACTATTTTACATTGAATCGATTGGCTTTTGGTTCAGCGCTTTGCGCGGGTTCACCGTGATTAAAGGTTAACTGAAATATACAACCACAGACGTCCATCGTGCAGGTTTTGGTTTTAATTCTATAGTAGCTATAAAGATATTACGTCTTCAGAGATTTACTGAGTACCACAGTTGCGAGGTTCCAACAGTGAATGATTCCAGCTTTCGACTAAATTTTGATCTAGGCAAGAAGAACAAAATCCATCACCACAGCCAGAAAGAGCATGTTAAAATTAGTAAAGTTGCAACGTTTGGCCGCGAGATGTTGTAAAATGCGGAAAATATAGCCCTTCCAAAGTTGCAAATTTTGTATTAATTTGTATTACGCACGGGAAAATGCACCACTTTCGCCGGCCCAAATGTGATGCATTTTCCTGCGCGTAATACCTTAAATTAAAATTTCGCAGTGTTATATTTTCCGCATTTTTTAATTACAACATTTCGCGGCCAAGCTTCGCAACTTTACTAATTTTAACACGCTCATTCTAGCTGTGGTAGCCTAATGGATTTTGTTCTTCTTGCCTAGATCAAAATTTGGTCTATAGTTAGAATTGCCTATTCTATTTGCTTAAACGTCCGAACAAAAGCCTAAAAGCCTGAACAAATTTATGAGGAATATTCAATTAATGAGCGCGGGATACGAGTCACAGCTTTCTGGTTGGCAAATACTCGTTTAATTACCGTTTTATCAGTCAGGAGAGTAATACCTTATTTAGCATTTTAATTAGTCTTATCTCTGGGATTTTATTGCTGGGATTTCGTAATTTGTGGGTAGTTTCCTTTCATTGCTAAGAAAGTTATATAATTTTTAAGGAACTTTCAGCAAAACTGATTCACCAACTGATTTGCTGATTTCTACCCGAAACTATGAAATAGTGATCTCAATAAGACAATAGGTATTCACATTCTTCTATGACTTGAATGCTCGCCATAACAACAGCCAATTACGTAACCGAAAAGATTGATTTGCTTGGACAGTATAGCAAGTTTAACCATTTATGACATTTAGGTCACAATTGTTTTGCTTTAAAATCGTTATTGAAGTCTCAACAACGGACACCTCCAAACAACGGGGACCATTTTGCTTACAAGTTACAACCTGATGCGAACAAAATAGTGTCTTTTTAACAGACTTAGGGCCCTCTTTTAAGAGTTTGGTCAGGGGCCTGTCTAGCTAGAAGGTGGTGAATACGAAGCGTGGCAACTTGTAGGGGAGTCTGGGGGTTGATTTTCAGAATTTTTAGACATAATTTTTGACATATTTCATCAGCTAGAGAAAGGTTTGGTCATGCGAATATCAAAACACTCTTCGTATCTATAATTATCATTATATTTTAGCCAGAAGGAATCTTCGCTAGGGAGTCAAAATAGGGACTGGGGGACTTTCCCCCCTCCCCCCCCCCCTCCCAGTCTATATGTTAAATTAAAAGAGCCCCTGAGTTCATATAATGGCCGATTTACACTACACAACTTTTGTCTAAAACTGTCGCGTGCAATCTGCTTACAACTTGAGTTGTACTGTGTAAATCAAACACACAACTCACCTACGTTGTCATTTTGACTGACATTTTGCAAAATATCTTAACTAGTAGCTGACAAACGTTGAAATAGTAATTTGGACTGACAGTGACATCCTACAGAATATCTTACTGACAGTTGACATATAGCTTGAATTTTAGCTGAAGCCTTTTCTACACATAAGCAAAAACCCGAATAAAAGAAACACTATTGATGTCAGGCTGAAGTGGTTCTTGTATATATAATGCGACATTCGTTAGCTGTTCTTAACACTTCCCAACACTACCCTCTATTTTATTTCAATCCTAAGTTAATTGACTGATCCTATTTTCTCGACCAACTGATTGACCATCCCAGCCAAAATTTTGTCTGAAATTCAGTCACTCGACCAAACTGATTTGTCAAGCTCCTTTCCCAACAAAGAAATTGCTGGTATAAATCCCGTTCCCAGAGGTCCAACTCCCATTTTCGCAATGAAAATGTAGCCAAATCCCGGCTCTCAGTTACTCATAAAGTTGATTTGAACAATTGAAAAGCATTCTTTGATTTTTGTCTGCCTGAAACCTATTATGAAATAGATATTGCAGAGATCATCCCAAGAAAAATTCAGATCTGCCCATTTCAAGGCGAACAGACTATGAGGCAGTGGCTGGCATGTTTATATTGGACACTGCAATAGTTGTGAATGTCCGGGGTGATTTCTCCCCCAAAAATTTAAATTTGTCTTATTTTGAAGCCAAGAAAGGTCATTTGGAAATCCTACTTTTTTTTAAAATGTTGAAAGCCATTTTAAATCTATAATGTATAAACTGTTTACGTATAACTATAAGCCATTTGCCCGCATCAGTTTGACTTTTTAGGAATCGTAACTTTTTGGCTTTTCTTGACTTTTTCAAGACCACTGTTTGGTAATGCGCAAGCAGCAATACACTATATTTCGCGTAACATAACGTACATCCTAAAAAATCCAAGATGGCGGAAAAATCACAGCAAAAATCAGAAGAAAGTTTTGTCCGTCAAAGAAGGGGCCCTCAACGACAGACGCCGAAACAAAAGAACGACATCTATGTCAACAAACAGTCAGATTTTAAATTCCAACTCGAAAGAGCACAAAAACTGTTGGATTCTGGTTGGAATGAAGTTTTTATACATGGGTTAGGGGCGGCCATCAATCGAGCTGTCAATTTGGCGTTGCAGTTAGAGCAAGAAGGACATGGCAGCATACAGATTTCAGCACAAACATCCAGCACGCAAGTGGTAGATGATTTTAGGCCTTTGGATGAAGAACAGGAAAGTTATTCTGAAACGAGAACTAAATCTTCGATCAAGATTAAAGTTTATAAAATATGTACAGATGAAAGCGGAGTGCTGACTAAAACGTGATACTCTGTGTATATGGGATATATATATATATAATATATAACTAGTTTAATAAAGTGAACTTAATTGTTGGGACCACGAAAAATTAAGTTAAATTTCTAAAGAAACAAAATATTTTGAGAGAATTTGCAGTCTTTTTTTGTTGTTATTATTTTGTTTTTATATGAATATGAAGTCTTAAAAAATGTTCGCGCTTGCCTTACTGTCTGAAGCAGACGTCGTACATAGGAGGATGTAAGCTGGATTATTTGTCCGTATTTTTTACTGACATCTTGCAAAATATCTTAATAGCAATTTGGAACCGACATTGTCGTCAGTGACATCTTCGTTCACAGGGTGTAGTGATCACGTGAATACCACATATAGCTTGAATTCTAGCTGAAACTATACATTCAAAAACCTCCATTAAGGCCTTTCTGCACAGCTAGTAAGGCGTAAAAAATACCTGTGGTTCCGGTTTCATATCGTGAAAACGTTAGGGTCGGTAGGTCGGAAATAATAATATTTTTTTAAATGTTTTTTTCATGGTTTTGGCGGTTTTTTGCTGGGCGATTTGCAATAGAGTCCCGACATCAATATTAACTAGAGATGCGTATTTCCTATGGACGAATTTAGGCAATTTGGTTCAATAATTAGTGTGACAACAGACACCATTTTGGCACGCTGTATGAGCAGCCCGCAACCACCTGGAGAAAATAGGGTCGCACGGTCAATCGCGTTGAACAAATAATAGGGTCGGCAGAAAAAAATAGGGTCAGGCGGGAACCGGAACCACAGGTTTTTTTCTACGCCTAAAACCCCAAATAAAAGAGCCACTATTTATTGATATCAGGCTGAAGTGGTTCTTGCATATATAATGGTACTAATAAGTAAGAAACCTTCCCTTAAAGTCCGGATCCGATAGCTAGGATGAGAGTTGGCAGTCACGCGAGCTTGGTTAGCTGTTCTTAATGCTTTCTCAAGACTATCATGTATTCTGTTTAAGTTAAAACATAGTCGGAACACTCAATAAACCTTTTTTGTTTATCTAGAACTTGGAATGTTCCCTACGCAATGCATAAGTGCCAACTCTCATCAACTCTCGTCCTCGTTTGACCGGGGCTTTAATTAGCGAGCTGTTGACAGTATTACACTGAAGCCTGATGAGAGTTGGCAGTCACGCATTGTTACAGGGGACATTTCAAGTTCTTGATTAACAAAATAAAGGTTCATTGAGTGTTTCATCTATGTTTTAACTTAAATAGAATACATGATAGTGTTGGGAAAGCATTAAGAACAGCGAACCAATGTCGCATGTACGACACAACGGATTGTGTATTAAATCAAGAATGTACCTGTTAATATCTACCCTTAGAACACGCATTTTAAAGTTTTGAGGAACCAGTCGGGTGCTTAATTGCAGGTGGTTCTTAGCCCACTTAGCCCACTGGTTCTTTTAAGCGGGTTTTTACTGTGTTCTCGATTTTTGCCTAATACTACCACAGGTATATGGGAGGCGAACACGTTATCGCAAAAATATGGGCAATTTAGGATTGATTGTTTGAAAATTTTATTTAAACACGGTTATTGCTTTAATTAATAACATATTGTTCTTCCTGTAAGCCGTGCACAATGAACGACAATAGTAGTTATTAAAACTTGAAGTAGTGTTTACAATGAAGGTAAATAAACTCAAAACAGTATTTTTTTATGAAATTAATTGAAGCAGATTACAATTTTTTAGTTCATGTTATAGATGCATTGACTGAGATTGCAGATTTTTCCTCATCTGGTTAGGAGTTCCAAAATTTAACTCTGGTAAAAGCAAAGCCATATTTCTATAATTTGGTTTGTTTTGCAAACTGGCAGACACTCGCGCAACGTTACCAGGGCAAAAATTTCAGGAATTTTATAATTTTAGGAATTTTATAATATTCGGTGTATTGACCAGTCGGAAAAGCAATCAGAAATATAGGTTGTGAACGAAACAGATGCATAATCATAGATTTTTCACAGCTTACCAGATGAAACAACAGTGTTGCAACGTCCAAATGCATATATAGCGGGCTGTACGGCTACCAAAAGCATCATTTTTTGCTTTCTTCAGAAAAGAGCTTAATTCTCGGTCAGAATAATTCTACGAAAATTTGTTGACGACATGAATACTTTTTCAGTAATTTTGTTGCTTTCTACAGTTTACTTTGCTTCCGCGGTAAGTTAATGTGCAAGAGTGTTTTTCTTTTTATAGTTTACTATGTATAATAAATGAAACAGTTTAACATATGGCAATGATTAGGGTTGATTTGTACATGCTTGACTAATTAGCTTTTTTCTCGGCCGAGTCTCCACACCACGAAATACAACGTTTTAGTATTTTAGTTGTTTGTTTTATGGTAAATTTACAGTTACAACTTTTAAAGTCGCTTTTCACGTTGTTCGAATTGTCTAGAATCTTTCAAGAGGGCAGACAGTACCCAAAAAGTGGCGTATTTTGGCCTTCGTGAGAAAGGCTAATTAGGGTACCTGCATGTTTTGTATAATACAGTGCCCTTTTCGATTTCCAGTTCTCACTTTTAGTTTACTCAGCTGTTCGACGACGTGCTGTTCCCATACGGTTGTCTGATCATTATTTCGGATAATTCCAGATGGCTCTTACTGGAGCTTTGAGGCAAACACTTTAGAAGAACTGATTGTGTTATCCATGCAGATTATGCAAAGTTAGTTTGCCTCTGATCTTTAGAAGCCCATTTGCAGTACCATGTGTTAACCAAAGTAGGATGACTCTTTCTGGACCTCTAGGAAGAACTGTTTAGCGTTATCGAGTGTTCATTTTATTTACAGCTCATGCATAAACAGTGTGTTATATTTTCAGCAGAGTAATGCTTGCGGTGGTTGTGCTTCAGGTTATTCGTGTAAATTGATCTTCACGGCAACAATTGGTGATCATACTTACAAGTATAGCCAATGTGTTGAGAACGGTGAAACTGTTGAGACCCATGAGCTTCTGAAACCTTCATCAAATGATGCATCTGTGAATTTCCGACGTGGCCTCTTTAGGGTAAGTAATATACTCTTAATTGGAATGTTTGTTTTAATCCTCATTAACAGTTTGTGAAGAAAACACGGGGAAAATATGATGAGCGTGAGCTTGGTAGATTTATTACAATCTAATATGTTGCTTAATTTTTAGACCTGTACACCTGAAACTGTGGCTGTAGATTGTGGTAAGGAAAGATGCTGTCTTGGTGGAAAATATTGTTCTCCTTATCTTTTCAAGTATATTCCTTGTAATCTGAAGGTGAGTTGGATTGTAATGATGAATGTGGTGGTGGTATGATGGTGTCTATGATGGTGGTCAGTTTGGCTGGTGATGTCCTAGACTCCTAGTGATGGTAAAAATAATGGCAAAGGTGATATCTAAGAACATAATGGGCTAATATAATACGTTGAACTATCTACCTGTCTTCCATTTTACAGAATGTTCACAAGTGTCCTTGTAGTGACGGCCTTGTATGCAGATTTACCTACAACATCAAGATACCAGTTGTGGGAATAACTCTGAGTCTCAAGCAATGTATGGAGCCTGAGGACAATAACGAAGTCAAGGAAGTCGAGATGACTGAATGATGATGTTAGATGACTTCGGACACTGTTAGTTTTCAAAAGCTGATGTAAAAAATGTAATGATCTAGCAGTTGTCTCTGAATAAATAAAATTCATCAAGTGAAGTGTACGTTGTTTTGTTATCAATATGACTAACATATGTGTATTTCTATTGCCGCGAAATTTACATTTAGTGTTATAGTAAATGGGAACAAAGAATGGAACGGGACACATTTTTAAAATGATCTGCAAAAATTAATGAATTCAATGTTGTATATGTGAGTGAATTGGTTGGCAGCTGACGTGAACTTCGTTAATTCCCAAATTCATTTTCTGTATAACATATAGTTCAAATTAATATTTCCACAGTCAAATCCGGTATTGGCGATATCCAGCATGAAACATAACTTTAAAAGCATGTTAAATGAACTTTTTAAGGTTGTATTTGTTCGAAACAAAACTATGTACGTTAACAAGAGAGCACTAACACAACAGCAGACATGAAAACGAGGCCATCGAGGCAAAAGTACAAGAAACAGCAAGGTGTATTCAGAACCGTATAATGCAAATCGTGCGGAATTAGCTGTGCTCGTAATCCGTCCGGTCAACGTGAACTGCGAGAACGCAAAAGCCGAAATCCTTCAAGTTTGTGTACAGTCCCGGTTTCCGATTCCCGAATGTTCGCCTTGTTCCATGTGAATGGAGCCGGAAGGTTTTGCCCTAACAGATGATCTTGTGAGCTGCTGAATAATAGTCGTATGTAAATAATCTGGTGATTATGTCGATCATGCTTCGAGCAACCTAGCGACCTAAAACATATTAGGATTTAGGGGCTGTGTTCATATCAGAGCCTGGCTACCCCCAGTTAACCAGCTAGGATGATTTGTTCAATAAAGCTCTTATTACGGCTTTGACAATCATGGCCAAAATGACACTTTCCATGTTGAATAAGTTATTAGTGTAACAGTATAAAGTTCATTCGAACGATCCTTTATGGACAGGAAAAAATTTGCGTGACACGATTCATCCCAGGTAGCCGGGGAAATTAAAGGTACTATAAGGTTCTGGTGCGAAACCCTGCATATCTCTATTGGTTTACCCTCGGACCGGTGTGGGCATTACCGCATTAGTGGCCTTTGGTTGCCTGTAGTATCAATAATCCTCCATTCAGATTTCTAATAAACTTCCTTTGTATAAACGTCCGATGTTGTTGGTCATGATTGATCATGGGTTAAAAAAGAAATATAGTTGTGGCCAGTGACAGACTGTTTGCCCATGACAATATGTCAACTTATCAGTACAATACTCAATAGGCATAAAAATGTTCCGTCGAACAAGCGTGTATGTGCTACTGTGCACGGCAGATGTTTCAATTCATAAAGAAAGCCGCTCATATATAATATACCTTTTTCCTCTACTGGCAATAAGTTGGCCATATTATAGCGCTAAAGAAATAAAATCTCGCTTTAAACAAAAATTGTCACTCAAGCGTATAGTAAAATACCACTGATGAAGAGTCCAGCTAAGGGTTATTGTCACAGCAAGTTTTTGTATATTATGGTTTTACAAGAGAGTTCAAATACCTTATTTGCATTGCCCCGTATTTGGCAAAGTTGTGGGTGGGATTTCGCCTTATCGACTACAACACAAATGTCGAATATTACAAGCCCTATTCAGCCACCAATGTTGGCCCAATATACGCGATTGATTCGTTTCTCAAGCTTCTGAATACAAATTGAAATTCATTATATCCGCGAACTATTAAATTTGCACCATCAAAAGCGATGGGAATAATGACATAATGAAAATAATATATTAAACATGATTTACGGGCCTACGTGCATGCATAAATGCATAGAGAAAACGCTCATTAACAGTTGCCAACACCAAAGAATAAACCGCAGTTGAGTGTCAACAATTTAAATAAATAAGGTATCGAAAATTGGGAGCTTTTCGGTAAGGGTTTTGGTGCAAGGGGTAAGCATAGCAAAGGGTATTGTTAGGGGAACATTGGTTTTATACAAGCGTGCAGTAGTTTTGACAAAAATCTAAATTTAAATGGTGCCCCGTGGTCGAAGATGTCACTCTATTGTCCCTGATGCAGGTGGCTTTATGCGGTAATTGCTTTCCATAGCTTACAGGTGTGACATCAGAGTGAGGCTCGATCAATAACCATCAACCAACATGGCGTCTTGTTGTTTAGCTGTTTGGCATTGTCTTCACCAAACTGTACTGCATTGTACACCAGAAAGAAGGCTTTAGTCTCGCAGACTAGATGATGGCTGAAGAGGACGAGTCGCGAAAGGGGTAAGCGAGACGAAATCTCTTCAAATTTACGGCGTTTGGTTTATTTATATGTCATTTTACTTGCCACCTTCGAGTTACGGTCGAGCGAATCGATGAACTACCATGTTTGCGAACCTTAAAATTGATGTTGTTGTCAAGAAGTTGCTTAAATATACTATATACCTTCTACCTCTTTGCTTTTAGACAAAATTTAGAAATGATTGTCTCGAAGTTGGCTAAAGAAAAGCCGGGCAATGGTAACATTATATTGGTAAGTTTAAAGTCGAAATATTATTGATGACACCAGTTCATGTCTCGATCTAACGGTGACAGTCTTAAGCCGTAAACTACCTTTAACTTTCAGCGTGGTATGTTTGAAAGTTGAAGTAAAGTTGGGGGCCATTAAATATAAGGAAAGGGGCAATGTTTAAGAAGTTTTTATCGAAATTTGTACGAGTTTAATACAGGGGTTTTAAATCTTCGCTGATATTGTTTTGCTTTGGCTGGTGGTGAAAATTTGCCGTTATTTCATAATCGGGCGATGGTTTTTGGTGATATATCTTCGAATTTTGGGAAAGTTTTGAACTAGATTTGTTAAAATATGGCGAGAAACGTAGCAGAGATCGCATAATAACGTCAATATTTTCTATTGAAAGCTCAAAACAAAAACGTTGAATGGAAAACGTGTGTGCCACGCTGGTCAAGCGCTTTAGTCAATGGCTAAACAACGAATCTCGCGTATTATTTGCATACCATTTGTTCGCAGAACAAAGAAACGACATGGTTCTTTATTCTGTAAAAGTACAACACGAGTTTTTGGTGAAAAAGTGCAGGTTTTTTTTCGTTGTGGTGCGAAACGGATTCAATATTTTGCTTCGGTTGTTGTTGATATATATCTGTTGAGCAGATGTTTTCATGTCCCCTCAAAGTGTTATTAACATTGTAATTTATTCAGAAAAGAAACTGTGCTTTATTTTGTGTTTATGTCAGGTTGTCAGAGCTTATTAAAAAGGAAATGAAGCTAAAATATTTGCTCAGGGGTTTGTCAGATTAGTCAACTAGAATCTTTCCAAAAGTTGGCAACCCTGCACTGTTATATATTCTTTAATGGTTTTGTATATTAAAAAGCATAGACATAATAGCCATTCATATCTTCTACTAGGATTTCACAGCTGAATCTTAAAGTTGGAACCTCCAAGCTTTTTTAAAATACTCCACACACACATTTTTTTTGCTCTAAAATACAAACTTTAATTCCAACTAGTTTTTTGGTATTGTACGATATTGAAGATGACAGTTTGATATTCATACATGTCAGATGAAATTTGGCTCATAAACACTTTGTATTTATGCCAAAATTTTAAATTTAATCTCCAAACAAGACCAGAAATACCAATTCTTTATTTATATATTTCAGTTTCTGCCTCAAATACAGAGTTCTAAAATCTAACTAGTTTTATTAGCAAGAGATTGGTATACTGTACAAATGAACTAACAGTTATAAATTGCACAAAATATTGTGTTATGCATGCATAGCAGATGGAACTATTGAAAGGGCACAATGGGAGACTATATTCAAAGAATAATATAAAACATTTTTGTGTGTCAACTATAACACATAAAGAGGTATTTGGTTTTCAATGAATTTGCCAACATTTTTGTAAAATTTTGGTTTTAAATTTGGTGGTGTTAGCTTGACTGTCTGTTGTCTAGGGTATTAAGAGAAACAGCTGGTTCTCATTTAAGAGCCATGACTCGGTGTTTTTGGTCATCAAGGCCTGACTCAAATAAGTTTGAATCAAATTTAGTTTAGTAGATAGAATAATATATTGTGGTATTTGGTGAATTTGTGGTTTGATTTTAAGGCAAATAGTGTATATATTCGCAGAAAAAGGGTGTTACGTGAATATTGTGAAAATGGGTATATTGCATACGAGATTGATTTATCTTTGAACCTTATTTGAATGACAATCAGTTATTTACTCTGAAAGTGTGCTCTGTCTCTCACAGCGCCTAATGTGTGATTGGGCAGTAAGATAAGAGAATCAATTTTAACGAACCTTTAGCTCAGAGTGGTTTTGAAAGAACATTTGGACATTTGCTGACCAGTCGCCCACTATTTGTAATATTAAAACTGAAACGAAATTTATATAATATGTGATGTTGCATTATTTGTAGTTCGGTTGAAGTTATGTGTGAGCCAATATTCATTTTAGTGAAGCATTATGAGTATGCCCGACTATATTGTATATTGTAAGTTATAATTTATACCCATATATCAGTTTTCAATAAAGATTTTTGTATTTGATGCTGATTGCAATTGCAAACTGAAGATTCAATCAATGTGACAAACTCTTACAATAAAATTAGAATATAAGCTAGTGCCTTACATTATCCAAACTTTTAATAGCATGTGTATCAGGCCATAATTTTCCTTTATCCATCTGCCGTGAAACAACTAAAGCCCTGATTGTAGGCATCAGCTGGGCTGTTGCAGTATAGCAACATATCAATAAATATATCAGTATTTTTAAATGATTGATTATTTGATATTTGTTTTTTATGTATTGATATACTGAAAATATCGAAAGATGATCGGTATTTTAAATATTGAGAGTACATAACAGCTTTTAGATGTTTTTTTTCCCAATACAGAGAGCAAATTTCCAGTAGACATCGAAAAATTTTAAGTAACTATCAACTAGTTAGAAGTAACTACCGACTACTTGAAACTTTTGAGTAGTTGGTTGTTGTTTCATCTGAAGTTGTGTCCACCTACCTCTAATATTGAACATAAATTTGGAAATAAGAAACACTGATTGTTATTTGTGTGGTTTGGCAAAAAGCAGATCTAACATTTAGGAACTTTCAAGAGTAGAAAAAATATTAATAGTATCGGCGATATTTTTTTCATATTGATATTCAGCCTAGTTACAGCTACCGTCGAGTTTAAGCCAACAAGAAACTGTGAGACAGTAGTTCATGTTCTGTAAATTTTTACTTCTTTAGATATCAGGAGTGAATATACAGAACCTTACTTTCCCTGATGGTAAGTGTGAAAATATGTTGTAAATGGGATTTTTGACAGGTGTGGGGGGCTGATTGAGTAGAGTACTGCCCATGGAAATCTTCACACCCTCTCTCAGATGAGGGTGGAACCACCCCTGAGCAACCCCACGGTCAAACGTAGAACACATGCTGTGACATGTACGAGCACTGTATATGGAAATGGTGGGGAAAATGTCTGGCAAACTAATAGGAGTAAACACAGGAAAAGAAAAAGCATTTACTATAAGGAAACAACTGAAGCTATGAGGTGGGGAATTTCATTGCTTTTTACTTGTCTCAAGACAATGTTATACCGTACTGAGTTTAAACTCTGACTTGTAATTTTAGTACCCATATAATTAGCCTTTCACTGGCTTAGTACCCATATAATTAGCCTTTCACTGGCTTATATAGTACCCATATAATTAGTCCACCATTTTTGGTAGGCATCTAATTCTCGTTAACCAATGCAGACAATTAAAACAATGTGAAAAGCAATTTTTCAAAATAAAGTAACCATTTACAAAGCAAATTTACCATCGTTCATCCAAAAAATTATAAAAAGTCACTGTTATGTGGACTTATCTCACAGACTTCAGCTGAAAAGTCACCCGAAAATGGTGGTGTGAGAAAGGCTAATTGGTTAATCTGATATATATATATATACAGCTATTTCGATTAAGGTTGTCCCCCAAGCAAAGTGGAAAAGTCTAATACGAGCGCGAAAGGCTGCTGGGAATCGCTAATAAATTCATTCATTTATTAGTGATTCCCAGCAGCCTTTCGCGCTCGTATTCGACTTTTCCGCTTTGCTCGGGGGACAACCTTAATCGAAATAGCTGTATACCAAATGCATCTGATTGGTTAATGGTCCCTTAATGGTAGTGGTATTGGAAGTCAAATCTAAATCTCTCTATTTAAACCTAACAGATAGGCATTCTTCATCACATTCTTCATCACATCCATTTAGATGCTGAAGGGGAGAGTGATGATTGTGAGCCAGATCTGCATCAATGTGGCAAATGTAAACAAATGTTTTGTAACTTAGAGAAGTATCTGCAACATCGTGCCAGTAAATCTTGTAGAAAGAGACAAGCAGAATCGCAGGATGTTACTAGTGATGATGGAGGAAGTCCAAGCCAAGTGCCTGAAGTTGTCCATGTAAGAAACTTTCACTTACTCACATAAAAAATTCATATAGGAATCAGTGCTGGTAGAAATAGATGAGCACGCAAGGACTGCTCGCAGGAAATGTTAAACAGCTGCAGGAAATTCCTTTGAATGCAGATTTGCCATTGAAAATTTGAAGGAAACCTTAACACCCATGTCCCACTATGGGCGCAACAACATATGGTTGACAGACATTACTCCTTGAATTTAAAACTATGGTCAGCTAGGACACTATATGTTTATGCACATGCAGATGTAGCACAAAAATACTCTGTTGGTCGGCAGGAGAATTTTGTCTCCAGGTTGTGCTCCCAGGAAGAAAATTCTTTTTTCCTGCCCAGATAGGAGTAAGGAATTCTTATACAGGATCCTATAGGAAAGTCTGACACGTATTCCTTGAGGAAATGCGATTTCCAAAGAGATTTCTTTTAAAGGTCCATTTACATGATATGACTAGTCATATGTGATTGTCATTCTAGCATATGAAAACGAATGCCACTATCCATTCATCAGTTTGTGGTGAAATTTGAAATGTGATATCTTTACATGCTTTTATTCTAGTACTGTAATTTGTGTCTTGTTTTCTTTAACCCTTTAAGTGGCATTGTGCAGAGATACACCCTACTTTATTATTTTACCCTGTCTAATGCCAGACTATTTTACTCTGTGTAACGCCAGATGATTTTACACTGTCTAACGCCAGACGATTTTACTCGTCAGGGGGAGAGTGCTGCCACTCAATGGGTTAATCAGACTATCTGCTACATATCTTTGATGTATAGACTATCTGAGTGAATATAATTCTTTCAATTTCTAAATGCTTTCTTATCAGATGGAAGCACCAGGCAATAGACAAGGAAGTGAAAGTCCAGAGCAATTAGAGCTTGCAAATAAAAGGTAAGGTTTGGGTACAATGCATAAGAGGTCTATATACCCTACATCATGTTTAACACAACAAAGCCACAGGAAAAAAATAAAATACCATTAATATAAATAATTAAACACCTGGTTAAAAAATTTCCAGCCTGTAGCTTAGTCTATCAAGATATGATCGTCTGGAAACTGAACAGAAGTCATTGTATTATGTTTTTGTCCGAGTTTATGTTAATTTGTGCACAGTCACGGTGATTGAGCTTAATAATCGTCCAATAAGGATATATGAAACGTGCACCCACGATGAATAATGTTTAATGAAGTTACGACAAAGGATTTGTGCTTGGTGGGGTACAGTTCAACATCAAACAAAGGTCTTCTTTGTAGCTTTGAAAGTTTGCTCGGCTTCCAGACCATCCTATTGAGGGGCATCTTGCAAGGGTCTAAACGTCCTGTTTGTGCCTTGTCCTTTTGAGTTACTCGCGCACTATAAATTAGAAGTACTTATGTACTAGTTAAAACATCAGCAGCCGAACTTTATAGATAAAAATCGGATGCGAAACGACCCATCTTATGAGTTCATTGGCGCAGTAAAACGACCTATCTTATGAGTGTAACGTGCTTATAAAACGACTCATCTTATGAGTTCATTGGCGAAGTAATTTTAAAAATAAACATTGTCTAAGCCGAGAAAATCAAAGCTGAAGTTTATGTAAATCAGGACGAATCTTTATCCGTTTTACAAACATTGATTAAACATTCATTTTTTTTGAATTTTCTTCATGAATTATTAATGTCTTTTTTAAGTACTAGATAAAACATGAGCAGCCGATCTGTATCTGATATACAAACTCCGAACCGAAGGCGAGATGCGAATGTTTTATCGTACTTAAAAAATGACCCATCTTATGAGTTCATTGGCGAAGTAATTTTAAAAATAAACATTGTCTAAGCCGAGAAAATCAAGGCTGAAGTTTATGTAAATCAGGACAAATCGTTATCCGATTTACAAATATTGATTAAGCATTCATTTCTTTTGTATTTTCCTCGTGAATTATTAATGAATTTTTTAAGTAATAATAGTAATATGTCATATGTGTTGTAAATCAGGAATAAATATGATGTAATTTCGTGATGGGTACTCATGGGTACTCAATAAATTTAACAAAACAACAAACCATGCCTTTATGTAGAATATTGCTTGAGGTCCCTAACAACCTCCCTTTATATATCTTAGAAAACATGATAGAAAGGGCGTGGCCCGTAAGAGAACCCATCTTATGCCAGAACCAATGACAAGCACCATTACCAGTACTGACCAGCCCCAGGTTCGAATCGCCATGGATAGTCTACCAGAGATCATTCGACCTGGCTTCACCAGTACTCCGACATTTGCCACCATCGGAGCGTACAGGAGTGCCTATGAGCACGCCGCTGTACCAAACAACAATGATCTGTATGCGCTCATGGAGTTGACTAAGAATTCCGGGATTAAGGAGGTCCACGTGGATGAAAACGGTGTTACAACAAGTAAGTCGAGTGTTTCGCTTGCAGCTTGATAGTAGAGACCTTACGATTTTAGGACGGCAACGGCCAAAACAAACTCATTCAAATAAATGGTAGTAAAGATAATTCGTCCTACATTATCAATCGTATGAATTTAATACAGTCTTAGAAGTTGAAGACATGGGTTTTATGGTTGGGAAGAGTTCTCCTGAACCCAATTTGAAGTTACACTTGTTGCGGCTTGAAATGCAGCCGTTGTATCAAGACGTGAAAATATGTGATTTGGCGTTGTAAACAGAGCGAGGCCAATGTCTAAATTATTCATATATTGTAATTTTTCAATTCTTTTCAATGATCTATTGTATTGGTAGCCGTTACCGTCGCGTTGCCGTCCTAAAATCGTAAGGTCCTTAGTTTAGCCCTGGTCGACAAGAATGAGAGTTGCAACTCTTTTTGGTGCAGGGCTTGTGTTTGACTCTTTTGGCGGGCTCGCGAAGTTCCGCTCCGAAGATCGTTTTCAGAAGTCTAAACATAACTATATTAACATTGGCAACAATTAAAATATAATATAAAACAATATGATAACTAAATAACTAAAATAAAAAAATATTTTTCTAAAATATTAGGTCGGCCCCGCGAGCTGTTGAACGGCGGAGTTCACCGGATGTTTCATCGTTCCCCCCTGAACTCTCCTCCAAATCACCGTTTCCCAGCCCCCCTGGTATTACGTAATCATGTCCCGGCAATGTCGTCCAACCAGGAGGTCGTTCACCACCCGGAGAATGTCATCCACCCGGAGTCTGTACTCGTACCTTACTCCGGGGTTGAGAACCCGGATGCGGTGAACCAAAAGGGCGAGAAACGGCGTTACAAATGCGATAAATGCGACCGCGATTTTAATCAGCGGGCTAACCTGAGACGGCATCAACTAGTGCACAGCGGTGAAAAGCCATTCGAGTGTGAACAGTGTCATAGGCGCTTCCAACAGCAGGGGGACTTGAAACGACACATGTTGCGTCACGCTGAGACCACGTGGTATCACTGTCAATCATGTGACAAGAGGTTTATGAGGCTTGATCGTTGGAAGGCTCACATGAAGACACACGACGAGAATGGAACACTCCCCCCGGACGTCGGGGCTTCCATGGTTGAGATGAGTAATGGCGCCACGGCAGGGACGGGGGAGGGTGAATCAACCGAGAAACCTATGGGATCACATCATATCTGTTCCAAGTGCAACCAAACTTTCATGGAACCCGATGAACTGTTGGTTCACACATGCGCAGATGGAAACATACGCGTCACCGCCGTTCCCATGGAGACCGCGCAGGATGCCTCGGATTTGGAACCAGAGGCGGTTGTGAGGATGGCGGAACGGTTCGTGAGAACGCAAGCGGCGGACTCGGACCACTCGCGTGCGTACAGTTCGTCGCGTTCCACAAGAGGGAAGCTCACAAACCCTCACAAGTGCCCGCTGTGCAATGCTCATTATAAAAACGAGGACTCGCTAAAAACGCACATCCTAAAACACTCCGGGGAAAAAAAATACAAATGTGACCAATGTCCGAAAGCGTTCTTCACCTCAAGTAACCTGAAAATCCACAGACGCATACACTCTGGAGACAAACCGCTGAAATGCAAAGTCTGCTTTAAGGCGTTCAGCGATCCTTCGAATTTTAACAAACACAAGAAATCCCATATCAAGGGTAAGCTGGAACCTCGGGGTACGCAGAAGAAGGGACGGAAACGCGAGGCTAAAGAGGAACACCCAGGGTTTAACGAGACTTTGGTGGAAGCTGTGGGTAAAGAGGGTGAAGTGTTGCAATTTGGATCCCCGTCAAGAGAGTTTCTCCAAAGTCAATATGAAGCATTATTACCCGCGTTGGAAGATGGTCGATCTGAAGGGAAGGTTGAAGGTGATGCAGCAGAGGGAAGTGAAGGTATAGACAGTACATATGGTGATGATCCCATGAAGTACTCTGTGCCGTTCATAGAATCACCATCTTATTAAATCACCTTCAGCTTGCTTTTTATTTTCTTGCTTTTTTGAGAGTTATTGCATGTCATGTTTGAATGGCGATCAAAATCATTGTATTAATTTAACACTGTGAAATTCATACTACGGAATTTGTGATTGCATCATTAAATCCATAGTATATCCATATTATTTCCATACTATATCCACAGTAAGGGAAATTATAATTAGTATAAAAATTGGATTTGCATACTATTTCAATGCTATTTTCATAGTAAGGATTTGAAAGGATTTGAAAACAAATTTCAGTGTTAAGCCGCCATGTATATCTTCAATTTTTGAGGCAATTTAATTCAGGATGTTACATGTAATGAGGGTGTTATGTGAGTATACGCAGAGTCATGCGAAACATGTCTGGCAATTGGGAATACTCTCCAAACGACAAACATATATATCGAGAATTGAGAAGCAAGCTGAAGTTTTGCATACACAAAATATAAAGGTTCACAAGAAGTAATGAATCTTTAAATGTTCTAAAATGTTGGATTCTTGTCTGGCTATAATAAGAAACAGTCCTCGTTTGCTCGCGTAATACAGCCTTCTGGAAAGTGCTCAGTCTTGGGTATAGAACCTTGTGTCCGTGATTGAGATATTGGGTTTAGGTGCCTTTACTTCGCTACACGAAACCATACAGTTATATCAATGATTATAGCATTTGTAAATTCTGAACGCTGATTGACTGAGAGCCGTGTTGACATAACTCAATGTCAACACGGAAAATTTCTTTGTGCTATATTATAAAAAACTATAAAACATTTTTCCGCATTGATATACAGTTCTATCAACACAAGTGGGAATTAGGAAAACATAAAATTGTGTGAAAACACTCCGCCCTTTGGGCGTCGTGTTACCACACAATTTCTCGTTTTCCCAATTTCCACTTGTGTTGATATAACTGTATATCAACACGGAAAATGTTCTATATTTGTTAAATATAAAAGGCCTGTTTAGAATAACGTTATCAATGACAAAGTACAGGGCTGAGGGGCTCTAGAGCCAATATCTCAATCACGGCAAACGAGGGTCTATATATTATAGCCACGGCAATGTACTTTGCGGAAGGGTGTATTACCTGAAGAACGAAGAGCGTTTAAATAATCTAATCGTACTACAAAAATAGACGTAATTTAAGTTATTCGGTAATGTATGTGTATAAAGAAACAAACTAATATACTAATGGCTAAAGATGGATTCATTACTAAAATAGGAAAAATTCATGTAAGGAGAGCATTCGGCAACGCGAAAATGACTAGCAACACAAGGGAATTTATCATATAGCACTAATGAAATGAATAAATATGAAAGTCTTAGACCGATTTACAGTACATAACTTTTGCCTAAAACTGTCGCATGCAACCTGTTTACAACTTGAGTTGTACTGTGTGAATCAAGCACACAACTCGCCTACGTTGTCATGGGTGAGTTGTGTGTTTGATTTACACAGTACAACTCAAGTTGTAAGCAGGTTGCATGCGACAGTTTTAGGCAAAAGTTGTGTCGTGTAATATTTGTGACTCTGTCGTAAAATTTTGAAACGGTATTTATGGCTAATAGTATCTTTCATAAGACCCATCGTCATGGAGCGCAATAAAATAAAAGAGTCTCATTAGAATCTTATTAGAATATCATTATTTGACTTCCATCTGCCTTTGTGTTAAATGTCGTGGGATTTCGTCAAATTTACCAATATAAAAAGAGATTGATCATGTGGTCCAACTATTTTATTTGGCCGTTGTCGTTGCGTTGCCGTCTTTTATGCTAATCTCTCCTAAGTGACGCGATAATTTGGTCACAATTTCTTCGGATACAAAAATACAAATATCGTACAATTAGATCCGGTACAATAGGGCAAGTTTATGAAAAAGGTCAGGTATGGGTTTCGGGCCTAGAACATTATTGAAAAAAATATGCATGTATTCGGAGATATGAGTTCATGTATTTGGGAATAAGAATTTAATATATCGAGCCAGATTTAGATATTTAAATTATTCATATTGATAAGAAATATGTTTAAATTAGGCTTATGGCGAGATATGGGAATATATTATAGAGGATTTTAAGGGAGTTATGTAAAATTTCGAATATTCTATTGCAACAGTTGGAACAGGTTTTTTAAATTCTGATTTCTAGCTCTCTTCATTGTATATCTTACCGAGTATAAAAGTGTGTGCTGTTGCAGATAATATTGATGCGTTTCAGCAAAGTTTACACTACCAAAGTTGCTCCAACAACTTGTTACCGTCCTGCAATTCAACAATTTGTCAACAAGTTGTGAGTGACAACCTTGTAGCAACTTGATAAAATAACATTCATTGTTACAACTTGTTGACAAGCTTGCTACAAGGCTGTTGCGAACACAATCTTGTTGACAAGTTGAGATTTTTACGTGTGTACCAAACAATCTTCTTCCTGATCTTTGGGCTTTCGCTCCAAAAGTCAAAAGTGTTTGAATTTATTATCAGAACACAAGCCACGGTAGCTTTTTAGGTCACAAGCCCCTTTAAGGTCCATGCATGTGTATTCAGCTAATTTCAGAGGGCTAGAAATCAGAATCGTGTATGATAAGTTAGCTAGCTTACGTTGGTATTGTAGTATATTATATATATTATTTAGATGTTAATGTATTAAACCAAGTAATATAGTATTAATATTATGGGTGCGAAACACCAGACTTTTATTTATTAAGAAATTAAAGTATGCCTTATTTGAAAAGTTTAAACTATATTATAGGAAATGTATGTATTAAGTAAATAAAATATGTTCAAAAGGTGTTCGTTTCATGCGTCAGTTTGGAGTTCTTACGCGCGGATGTGTTTTGTTACTTCTCAAATTCATTAATAATTCATGATAATTCAGCCAATGATAATCACCTATTTGATCACAAGATGCCATTTGGATAACCCGGTGAAACTTGATGAAAGTCACTAGTGTTTTCATCAAATATCTTAATTACGCATGCAAAATTACTTGAATAGAATTCCTAATTACGTTATGCTTGGTTAAGAATTCTATTCAAATCAGCAAACGAAAACATTCTGTTACGTCTCGATTCATTCGAGAAGCCATATAAACAACTCGAGCTCGTGTCTCACCAGGATATCCAAACACTCGAAAACAATGTATGAAAACATTCGCGCTTCGCGCTCGTGTTTTCATACATTGTTTTCTCGTGTTCGGATATCCCGGTGAAACACTCGCTCTCGTTGTTCATATATTACATGAAACGCTTTCTCCTGCGCAGAGCCACCTTAAGCATTTACATGAAGTTTACCATAAAGAGCGCGTGGGTACTTTGTTATCCTCCCACAGGGCCCTAATGGTTGACAGGGTGGGTTCGGATAAATCTAGGCAATCAACTTACTCAAAATAGTTTATATATATCAAAGTTTTATTTTTCATGGAAAATTTTACAAATACATTCAATTAAATTTAATGTTATACAAATCATTTAATCAATTTCAATACGTACTTCATAATTATATAATATAAATTTGAATCTACAGAGTACAAACATACAAATTGTTATAGTTTATTTTACCATGCTCTTGCATGGTACTACAGTAACTCGGTCACAACTGGTTAATGCCCAATTTATAGTAGAGATAGATCATCGTTCCGTCTGTAGTACAAATATGGCCTACTTCGCAGCCTTATGTCTCCAATAAGAACTGCGAAGGATACCAGTAGAAATCAAGGCATTTTTATAAGGAAAATATTATTCCAGTTGCACGCGGAGCTCAGGGGTTAGTTGTTCGAAAGTCGATCGGCGTAATCCTAGGTTAACCTAAAATTCAAAGCAAACTTCCGAACGGCTTGTTTATAAATTTGGAAATATTTCTTTAGGCGTATCAGTACGCGTTTTCTTCTCTGAAATAAACAGACGTGCAGATAGGGTACATAAACTAAAACAGCAGGTTAAATTTTAACCGAGGGTTAGTGCTAATTTAGCTTTGAACAACCGACCCCAGATATATAAATCAGGGCGGGGAAATGTTAAAAAGAGAGTTATAAACGTTTCTGTGATCAAAGTAGGGATTTTCGTTAGGTAATTCTACGTTTTGAAGGATTTCTAAGAAATATTTGCGGAAACTGACTTAGTGTTTAACACTGAAGCCCCGTTTACACTACGCTCGATTTTTGGTACTGTAATACTAAATACTTAAATAGGTAGTCCAAGAACCAAAAAAAGTGGTAAGGGTACCAATTTTATCCGTGCCGTACCAAAAATTGAGCGTAGTGTAAACGGGGCTTGAGTCCATTGCTTCAAACATTTCTTACAAATCTTAGAATTTACCTATGCAAAATTCCTACTGTGGTCACAGAAACTTTAGCCGTGTTTACACTACGAGCCTAAGCCTGGCCTAGGCCAACCTTTGGACTAGATTTTTGTAGTCTAAACGCACTTCGGCCTGGCCTAGCCCTGGAAATCTGGGCCCATCAAAACAGGTGGTCCAGATTTCCTGGCCTAGGCCAGGCCGAAGTGCGTTTACACTACAAAAATCACGTCCAAAGGTAGGCCCAGGCCAGGCTTAGGCTCGTAGTGTCAACACGGCTTTTGATTGTGTGAAACCAGCCTTAACATGACTTGATCACGTGACTAAATGTAAACGAGGCTTGTCTCAACAATAATTCCACAACCTAAACTCTAGGTCCACTTTTATCGTTCGTTTGAGCCGCCTTCAAGTTGTTTTTCTTAAATGAAGTAATTGAGCTCAACAGATCACCTCTGCTTTTGGTCTGGGGAGGAGCGCCATTTTTGGTGACCGCAGGTGGTGGTTGGGGTGCAGGGGGTGGGGCGGGGACTGAGGGGGCACTTGATGCACCATAGTTGTCTACTGATTGAGCTTTTCCTGAAAAATATTGATAATGTTCGTATTAAAAAAGCCAGTGTTAATTCGTAAGCAAAAACTAGTATGGTCAGTGAAATATGAACTAAAGCTTAGCTAAGGCAGTGCGTGCATACTAATTCTACTATTAGTATTAACCAATGAGTTCTCTTTATATATCTGGATCGAGAATTTGTGTCGTTCGGCCTATAGAAAAGTGAAGCCAGGATGGAGGCCATTGACGTCGAATAGCTATGAAAGGTTATTTCGCTGACCTCAGAATAACATTTCGTCAAAACTTTTTTCTTCAACATTGGTTTAGAAACAAACTTGGAGTAGGGTTCGGATTAGAGTTATTATTTGGAATAGGGTTAGTATTAGTAAAACCATTGCTTTGTTACGTTTTGTCACTCTGAGGCCAGCGAAATAACCTCTTCCCATGACAGTTGCAAACAGTTTTCATACCAT